CTCCTGGGCAGACACACGCAATGAAGCTCCGACCCAGGATGGACTAGGCTAGAATCTTCCCGGTAAGACCGGTGCTCACAGATTATTAGAGATGGGTTGATCGGGATATCAGAATTAGCCAGTAAGGGCTAGAGCTAAAGGGCCAAGCAGTGTCTAAAAGAATACAGTTGGTGTGTTGTTATTTCGGGGCATAAGCTAGCCGAGCAGGCGGCCGGGGTGCTAGGGACGCAGCCCCGTCGCCCCTATTACTACAGTCCCCCTCCACTGGGATGTATATCCCATACATATTCCCTCTCCCTTTTAGGACCAGCTAGTTACTCCTGTAAATCTCAGCTATGATCTAGTTTACTTGCAAAGATTCCACTGAATCTGAGGAATGTTGACTTTTTTGGGAAAGAATTGGCAGGTAATCAAGGCTCCTAAGCAGGAAAATTGCATAGTAAATTGGCATGTTAGCTCATCACCATGGCTACAGTGTAAACAATAGATAGAAGGGGTCAGAATGGGGGCTGACCATCAGCTAGACTCCATCTTTAGCGTGCCACTGATTCACTTAATCCATATCTAGGTTCTGTCAATTCTACATGCTATATACAAAAAACACCCATTTAGGACCTCCTGCACTGACACTATTCTAGCTCTCATATTCTCCCACAAATCTCCACAATGACCTTATAATCCATCTTGTGCCTTGAGTTTAGCCTTGGATCTCTCCAATCTAATCTTCACCTGGCCTCCAAAGAGGGGTCACCTTAAAACACAAGTCTACTTAGGTTACTCACTTTGAATTCTATGGCTCTCTTATTGTTCTTATGATGACTCCTACAATGTCCATGCTGTCCTTTATAGTTGGCAATGTCTGCATTCTTCTTATGATGCTGACGGTGTCATCGATACATTGCCTAAATTTACTACTAAAAACAATGATACTCATCTGTGCAGCTCTTGAGTGTTAACTACTCCCAGCTCCCAGCTGAGGCATTCTGTGGGATTTGTCCTGAGGCTAAGGAAGCTGCCTCATCAAGGAATTGATTGGTGTTGGAATGTGAGGGCAGGGACCTCCCACCTCAGTTTAGGGTATACCTAATGGCCTCTTGTCAATGGCTAATCTATACAGTCAACTTCATTAGGTTCAGAATTACCATGGAAACATACCTCTAGGGGTCTAGGAAAATGTTTTCAGAAAGGTTTAGGTGAGGAGGAAAGATCATCCTGAATAGGCTGGGTTTCTGGTCTGAATAAAAAGGAGAACGCGATTAAGCACCAGCACCCATCTCTGTGTCCTGACTGCTGATGCAATGTGACCAGCTGCCTCATGTCCCACCATCCTCACTCCCCTGTACGTCAAACTGTGAAGCAAAGTGAACCTGTCTTCCCTTAAGATGCTGTTGTCAGGCATTGTTCTCAGAGCAATGAGATGCAGAACTAATATAGCTCACCCAGACTCCAACCTCCTTGTGGAATCACTTGAGACTTGTATTGCAATTGTGTTGTAATTCAACTCCTCTCTCTGCCTGGTCTTCTTCCCTTCCTCCCTCATAGGATTGTTCCAAAAAAGCACACCTTCAGAGACATCTTGTGTGTGATTTGGCCTCAGAATCTCTCTCTGAGAATTCTAAAGTACAACATTCTCCTAGCCCCATAGGAATGCTGTCATGCATCTTTGCATTAGCTCCCCAAGTCCACTAAGATCTCTCTAGGTCATTGTCCTTTGCATGAAATGCTGCTTCTACCTTAGGGACATTTTCTACTTCTCCCCATTATCCACTTTGTAGAATTCATTTCTATGCATCCTTTGGGTCTCAATTAAGATATACTTCCTTTGAGAAGTCATCCAAGATTCACAGAGCCCTACTTGGTGCTGTCCTTATAATTATGGAATTATAACAATTATGGCACACTATACTTATGAACCTATATGATTGACTCACCTATTAGGACAAGAAATTTTTCTACCATGTCTGTCATTGTATCACTAGAGTATAGTTGAATACCTGGAACACATATAGGTAGCAAAAAACATTTGCTAAACAAATGAAAAAGTAGGAAATGCCATTAAGTAAGGAATTGGCAGGATAAAAAAGAAGGGGACACACACACATATGTGTGTGTGTGTGTGTGTGTGTGTGTGTAGTATATGTATATATGTGTATATATACACATATATGTGGCAAGTTTAAGTTTTGATGGCTGACTAAATAGATATAATCCAGGATTATGCCTCCATTTCTGCATTTGTTAGTGATAAATTACCGTTGGCTTAAAGAAATAGTTCTGAAGGAAGTTTGATGAAAAACAAAGTGAAAACAGGTCACATCTGTGGTATTTAGCAAATATCCAAGCACAGATGTCCAGTGAGAAGGTTTGAATTGGGGCTCAACAGTATCTCACCCAGGAAGTCTGCTTGTCAATTCATTTCTGACCAATAACACTCTGTACTATTAGACTCTGTATTAGACTCTCAGGGTATTTTACAAGTCAGTGCTTACATTAGTTGCCGTGGGTTTCTAGAACAAAATACCACAGACCAGATGACTTAAATAATACATACTTAGTTTCTCTTGGTTCCAGAGGCTGAAAGGCCAAGATCAAAGTGTCCATATCTCTGGCTCTCTCAGGCCACTCTCCTCAGCTTGCAGAGGGCCTCCTTCTCACTATTCCCCTGCTCAGTCTCTTATCTGTATCTGTACTTATGTCTAAATTTGCTCTTCTGTAGTAACATCAAGTTGACAGGTTTAGGATAGACCTCAAGAAATGACTCTCATGTAACCACCTCTCTCTCCAAATATAACGCCTCAGTCTCTAAATATAGTTACATTCTGAGATCACACTGATGAGGATGCAAACAGAAATCTAGCTAGGTAGTTCAGCCTACATTGTTTCCTCTTCCCACATCCATTGCCCCACAGGCTGACCGCCTATGCCTCTCCACCAGAGAACCCATGTCTAGAAGAACCTTTCCCTCAAATTCCCAGAATTCAGAATCGCAAGCATTTTAGAACAGATTCGGAAAGGGGGGCTATTCTGCCTGGGTGGCAGTCAGGTGGTAGAAAGACCTGAAGGAGCATGAACAAGAACTTGTAGTCTCAATGGGAGAAAATAGTCTAGGTTGTACCTCCTCCCACCCCCTCCTCCAATTCAAGCCTAGAAACCACCACATTGTTAATTTTTGTGGTGAAGTTTGGAGACAGTCAGACCTGGCTCTTGTGGAGGCAGAAGGTGGCAGTACTAGACGTTGAAGTAAGAAAGGTTGGCTAAGGTCATGTTCTAAAGAGATTCTTTCATTTGCCATAAATCACTCAATGCTTTATCTAGAGATGAACACAGGGAATTAGAGGCCTCTGCAATCACTCATGCAGGAAACAAGGCAATTACTTGTAAGAGGTTGAAAGATTTGTGCAAGACATTAATAGCTATTAGGTGGGGGTGGGCAGCTGGGGTAAGGCTAACGGAAAGAGAAAGAAATCAGAAAGGAGAGAAAAGAAATCAAAAGACTTCCCCACTCAAACCTAAATCAGGAATTCCTGACACCCTAGTGGATTCTGCTGAGCTGCCTTCTGCCTCCTTGATCAGGTAGATTCTCCTCCTCTTAGACTTTCTCAGAATTGTCCAGCACAGTAGCAGAGGCTGGGAGCCAAGAAGGCTCTGGAAGTCAAGGGAGTGGTCAGTTAACAGGAGGAATGTGTGACAAAATGAGTCCCCAACAATGCAGGTGTCATTTAGATCAGAGCAGGGCTTAGACTACCCACTCTGAGGAAACAGCAGGGAGTCTCCTAAGAGCTACAGTGTCCTGTCAGAAAGCAGAAGAAAGAAGGTGGGTCACAATACTTGGTCACTATCCTCAATCACAATCTTAGAGTGAAAGTCAAGATCAGAGGTTAGATTTTAAAAAAAAAAAAAAACAACACTACACAGAGATTTTTCAGGGGTCTTCCTCGATCAAACCTTGTTTTTCTTAACCCAGAATGAATCCACAGCCTCTCATTTCCTGTGGAAACAAAAGCAAAACCTGTTCTCCAAAAGAACATACCTTTTGACTTAAATTTTGAAGTCAAGGCATTTTCCAAATATATAGGTTGGATTAATCTAGCAGCATTTATAATCAAATGCCTTTTAGCAGCTGCTGCTCCTTCCTCAGCTGTCAAACAATTCAAAGACAACACAATAACATACAGTATCCAGACTCTCTATGTATTTTTCACTCTATTTCTTTTATTTTTAATTTTTGGGTTTTTAGGGATAGGTTTTTTCTGTGTATCTTTGGCTGTTCTGAACTCACTCTGTAGACACCAACACTTTACAAAGCCCATTAACACATGGAACTTGAACAGTTCTCACCTGAATCACCAATGGGTCTTCTTGGGCTAGGGAGATGGCTCCGTAATTAAGAGCACTTGCTGTTCTTGAAGAGTTCAGTTCCCAGCACCCACCTGAGACAACTTGTAACTCCAACTCCAAGGGATCTCTGGTACCACCTTCTGGCCCCCGTGGGCCCCTACACTCACATGAATACACATACACATAAATTAAAAAATAAATCTAAAAAAAATAAATAAATCTAAAAGCAAAAAGAAGGAAAGTTCTTCTAAGTTCAACCCTGACAATTCTCTGCTATCAGCCTGAGTAGCCAAGCCTGGGGCCTACTGCACCTCTCTGCCAAGAGCAATGCAGCCAGCCCTGTACACTGGCTTTTCCAAGACAGTATAGATTAGTGTTCACACTTCCTTGCTGTGCCTTTAAGAACCACCAGAATGCAAGGGAAGTCTGGAAAGAGAGGTGGGGTCTCCTAACAGAACTTCTTGGAAAAGGATCCTAGGAATTTCTGCCAGAAACTGAACTGAAATTCCAATGCTGAGAACTAGGGGGTGGCCTGTGTTGAGCTAGGCCTATGATTGGACTGCACGGCCCATTAGGGAGGAGGAAAACAAAATTAAAAAATCTGGGAGGTGGAGGGGAAGAAAGACCTCCTCAGCCCTACCCCAATCCATACACTCCAGACCTGGAAGCATTATGTAGCCGCTAGCCTGGACGGGGTCTGTGCACGTCCAAGCTGAGGGCAGCAGATGCTGGACCCAGGGAGCTCTCTGCACCAACTGAACAAGCAAGGCCTCCAGGGACTGACTTGCCAACAGCTGGACTTGATCACCAGCTTGAGACAGAGCTCATGCACTGCGTAGAATAACAAGCGGACTTTGTTCCCTGGCTGTGCAAAGTGTTGTTTTCCAAGGGATTGCCACAGCAGCAGAGAGAAAACCAGAGATCACTACCTGGACCCTTGAGTCTCTGTAAAGAGCCAAAGTGTAAGAAATTGTGCTGCTGGGGAGTTTGCAGGATGATGGTGGCTCTCCAGGGAGCTTGTTCACTGGTTCTCTTCCTTGCAGCATTCCTGCCCCCACCACAACATGCCCAGGACCCAGCCATGGTACACTACATCTACCAGCGCTTCCAAGTCTTGGAGGTAGGTGACATGTGTTCCCTTCACTGGGACTATGCCTCTTGGAAATCACTCTGTTGTGCCGCACTTTCCTGTCATCTAGGATGCATGTCTTCCAGATACAGAGTGAATCACTGGTCTAATTACATTTACAGATGTGCATAGCCGTGATACCACTTCCAGTCCAGACCGCTGTATCACTAGACTTTGAGCAAGGCTTCACTCTACACTTTGCCCTGGCAAAGTTTTTCTCACCTATTACATGGACATAGAGATAGAATTTAACTTCAGAAAATGTTCTGAAGATTTAATGAAGAGATTTCAACTTTGAGAAACTGGGAGTGTTTTATTTTGGGTCATTAATCTGTACTCAAAACATAGCCTGATCCACTGAGTAAATTTCCAGGTTGTTGAATATTTAAAACCCAACAATTCAGTCTTCAAAGTATGGAATTATAACTGTAGTCACATTTTTCATCTTTTATTATATTGTGTTACTAACTGTCTCCAGCTTTTCCTTTTTCCTTTTCATAATAAACTGTTAGGTGACTATAAAATGCAGTAGTACAGCAGTGTATCGTGAATTTTGCTTTTTAATCTTAACTGGATTTAGGATTAAAAATGAAATTTTTTTGGCAATGTTAAACAGAGAGAACACATTTGATCTTTCACCTCATTAGAAAAGGCAAAAAACTAGGGTTGGGATTGTGGTTCAGTTGGTAGAGTGTTAGCCGAGTATGCACAGAGCCCTTGGTTCAGTGCCTAGCACGGCATAGCCAGATGTGTTGTTGGCATGTACCTGTTATCTTAGCACTTGGGATAAGGAGGCAAGAGGATCAAGGAGTTCAGAGTCATCTTTGGCTACATAGAAAGTCTGAGGCCAGTTTAGACTACATAGATCCCCATCTTAAAACAAAAATGAATGAACAAAATTCAGTGTTGTTTTTTAGGACAGTAAGGTTCTCAGGGACAAATATAGTCTTCCACTTTAGAACTTGGCTCTTGTGCAAGCTAAACTTGCATATTATGCATCTTCTTTCAAGGACACTCTTATCTCAAACATTTTCTATGTTTTCCTTAAAAAAAAATCTGTAAATCCAAACGATGGTGCCACCTAGCTATAGTCAGTAAAATAAGTCCACAGAGCAATCCAAACACACTTCCTTGCATTGTCTGGCAAGCAGGCCAGGGCCTGGAAGCTGTGGATGAAGCATTCCCAGGCTTCAGGCCTCTTACTGCTCCCCTGCTCCCTTCCTGGACACGCCACCAACCTCACCTGCTTAAAATGCCAAAATCTGCTCAGGCTTTGGCACCAGCTAAACTTCTCTCATTGTCCCTCAGTACTGTGAGAGTTTGTCTACAGACAAAGGAATAACACGCAGAGTAAGATATTCACGACTTTGAGTGTGGATTTGGAAGATTGGGTATGCTTTGTAGATACATAGATATGTTCAAAAGATATGTCCTCTGACCACTAGGTACTGACCTGAAGGTGAATCAGGTCCCAGGTGGCAGGCACTGCTGGCTAATACAGAGGCTTGACAACTCAGGGTTACAGGGCCTGTCCTGAGAGGGGCACGTGGGAGGATAGGAAATGGAAAATAGATACTTGAGAGTTATTAATATCCATTCTCTCCCTTCTCTTTCTCTATTTCTCTCTGTCTGTGTGTGTACATGTGTGTATGTGCATGTGTGCGTGCATGTGTGTGCATGTGTGCGTGCATGTGTGCGTGCATATGTGTGCATGCATGTGTGTGTGCATGTGTGTGCATGTGTGTGCATGTGTGTGCATGCGTGCGTGCGTGTGCGTGCATGTGTGTGTGCATGCATGTGTGTGTGCATGTGTGTGTGTGCATGTGCTACTGCTGCTGCTGCTGCTGCTGCTTTTCATGTCTCTAGCTCTTTCTCTTCCAAGTGAAGTACCCTACACAATTATGTTTAGAGTAAGAAGTTTTCCATTTATGAAGAAAGTTTTAGTCAATGTTGCCAAGTGAGCTTTAACTACCAACTCCATGACCCATCAACCCCATTTCCACTTATTTACTCTTCCGTTCACCTAATAGTCATTGAGCATTCTCTATCTTAACTCATGCCAGATGTAAGGGAATGCATCTATTTCTTGGCATCTAGCCTAAGAAAATAACTAAGGACATAAAAATATAAACACATAGTTTTTTATGTTAACATTGAGTGAAAAAAAAGAAAACTAAATGTTTCTTTAAATGAGTTTAATGGAACAAACAATATGATTTCAATTTAATAAAAATCTTGCATCTTATTAAAATCATGCTACATATGGATAAAGAAAACATACATATACATAACACAATGTTGTTCACTCTTTCAAATGAAACTCATACGTGACACTGTAGAGATCTTCTGCTAAGTGAAATAAGCCAGTCACAAGAAGATAAACACTAAATGAATGAGTTCACTATTTATTTAGCCTGAAGAAGTTGAACTCATAAAAACAGGGAAGACTGAGCAATGAGGAGATATTGATCAAAGAATACAAAGTTTCAACTAGAATCAGTTCTGTGGCAGTACAGTGTGCTGCCTTAGCCTGAGGACTTGAGTTCAGATCACCAGTACCCAGGTAAAAAGTAAGATGCGGCAATGTCTATCTGTAAGTCCAGTGCTGTGGAAGCAGAAGCAGGCAGTTCTCTGGAGCTTGCTGGCTAGGCAATCTAGACAGTTAGTGAGCTTCAGATTCCATGAGAGACACTGCCTCAAAACATAAGCGGTTCAAAACAGTTATGAAAGGCACCTGATATTGCCCTGTGACATCCACATGTACACCTGTATGTGAACATAGACACACACACACACACACACAAGAAAGAATAAGTCCAAAATATCTGCTGTACCTATCATTACCATAGAACACAGCATTATACTGCATACCTGGATATTGAAAGAAAAGATTTTTACCACCTCAAAGGTAAATTTGTAAAATAATACATATGTTAACTTGCTTGATTTAACCATTTTACATCAAAATATCAATGTACAACAATTACATAGGAGTTTCATTTGTTAATTAGAAAAACATGGTCAACACAAAGAACTTATAGTGTGTTATTATGATAATATATAATAATGTAATGTATTTATAATAATATAATAATGATATTTAAATGTCAACAATATAGCAGCAATTTAAATAATCAGATATTTAACAAAGTCACATGTAAATATATATTTATATGTATTATAAAATACATTGGAAAAAAACTACTATACTAAATGTCAGTAGTACGTATAAATTTAGGATTATGGGTTATTAACCACCTTTTGATTAAACTTTTCTAATAATTTTTTTCTGTAAATAATAGCTATTTATTTTACTTGAATAATTAAAATGATTTACAGTAATTTGGTAATTTATTTCCTGTTTGAAGCAAGGGCTGGAAAAATGTACCCAAACCACAAGGGCATACATTCAAGAGTTCCAGGAATTCTCAAAAAACATATCCATCATGCTGGGGAGGTGTCAGACCCACACCAGTGAATATAAGAGTGCAGTTGATAACCTGGCACTAAGAGTAGAGCGTGCCCAGCGGGAGATTGACTACCTGGAATACCTCCGGGAAGCCGACATATGTATCGAATCAGAGGAGAAGACACTGGCTGAAAAGGTGCTTCAAGAAGCTGAAGAAGAAAAGAAGATCCGAACTCTGTTGAATGCAAGTAAGGGATTCTTCTACCGCCCCAGCTAGGGCCTGACACAGCTAGAGAGATGCAGACTTGTGCAGTTAGGAAGTGTGATCTAGTGATGGGTGAGAACTAGAAGCATTCCCGTGTGTATGGGCTGGGAGCAACTTGGCACATGTCCCACGTCCCAACAGAATTCCCCTTCAAGGAACCGACTTTCTTTTCTCAGAGAGTTTCTAAAGACCTCATAGAAGGCCAAGTCTTTAGTCTGAGAGGCAGCTTGGGGGATCCCCTCCTGCTAGACTTTGGGTTAAAGGAGATATGTCTCTGATCCTTCTAGGGAGAGTGGCAGGCTGGAGCCAGCTACACCAAGGGCCCTAGGAACAGAGAGCTGCTGCCAGTGTAACAAGAAACAATGTGAAATGAGAAATTGTGACAGCCAAACCACAGGACTGGGCACTGCATCAGATTGCTATTGTGTGCTGTCTGGGATGGTGGCATTTAGGAATTTGTCCTCAGTCTTGTGACACATCAGTATCAATACTGGGCTGTCAATAATAGTATCTAGTAGCTCAGAGTATAATGAGCATCACAGCTGATAAGATTTGTTTGTGCATGAGTCCATTTCATTAAAACAACAAGAAAAACAAGGCCCCCACCTGTATTTTGTATTCTGAAAAGACTTCGCTGCAAATAGGAAGACTATTCATGTACTAATTAATCCTCCAAATTTGGGAAACTTCAGCAATGAAATAAGGCATAATAGGGGTTATTTTTGCTTTTAGGGCTTTGCATACCTTCTCAATGTAATCATTTTAAGAAACTATGAATCATTATAGGAAAGGTATTGGCGTGAGGATGTAGCATGAGGAGGAGGCAGTTTAAGGATAGACTCAGTTACATCATAAATTTAAGCCCAGCTTGAGCTACATAAGACCTTGTCTCAACAGCAAATAAATAGGGAAGTTCTCTATCAGTGAAGTGAGCATTAAGGATACTTCAAGGGCTAGCACAAGCTATAAATCCATGGCCATCTGCAAATCTGGCTGAGAGAAAACTGTAGGGTCAGAGACTACAGAGAAAAAGAGCTAAGACTATCAATCAAGCCCTGTGCTGGTATCACCTATTCATTGGTTCACTTATTTACTGAAAATGAGTGATAGGAACAGAGGTACTATTCCAGGCACTGGATGTAGAAGGTGAAATAGGATGTGGTCCACGCTAAGGAGATGGAACATGACTAGAGAAACTGATGAGGTATTCTGAGTTGGGAAATGATATAAAGGAAGAGACTATAAAGAGAGGGAGACCTGTTGTAGTGTGGAGCGGCGGGCCCCTTCCCGCCGCCAGGCTCCTGCATGGCTAGCTTTACCCAAAATAATTACACAGAAACTGTATTCTTTTAAACACTGCTTGACCCATTAGCTCTAGCCTCTTAATGGCTAACTCTCACATCTTGATTAACCCATATCTAATAATCTGTGGAGCACCACAAGGTGGTGGTTTACCGGTAAGATCTTAACCTGCATCCATCTTGGAGAGGAGAGCTATGGCAACTGTTTTACTCTGCTTCTTTCTCCCAACATTCTGTTCTGTCTACTCCATCTACCTAATTTTCTGTCCTATCAGGGCCAAGGTAGTTTCTTTATTAACCAATGAAAGTAACACATAGACCCTCCTCCATCAACCTATCAGGAATACTGAAGAAATTTAAACAAATAATGACTCAGCATGAAGTGCCACCAGATAGAAAAGAAAAAAACCTGTTTGATTTAAAAGCTATTCAGAGTTGAAATCTACATGTTTTGGCAACTGACAGTTCAAAGTATAGGATAAATGAGAGACATGAATCAGAGATACTTCCAAGGTTTGGGACTTAGGTTATTAATTGATCGGTGTGAAATCTGTTAAGATAGAAAACCCAAGAGTACTTTAGAAGCATATCTGACTTGACAAGTTTTTTCCAAGCACTTACATCTTCATTTGTTTTCTATTGCTATAACTGAACCATGCAAGGTAATTCATAAAGAATAGAAGTTTACTTAGCTTAATTAGTCATTTTCTAGAGACTGAGAAGTCTAAGACCATGATGTGGGCATCTATTTAGCATCAGGGGAGGGCCATCTTGCTGCATTGTGACATGCAAAAGGCATTGCAAGCTAGCTCAGAAGCCCCTTTATTTATTTTTGTGTGTGTATGTGTGCATGTGCATGTAGAGGTCAGAGTCAACCTCGGGTGTTCTTTAGATGCCATTCATCTTGGGTTTGTTTGTTTGTTAGATAAGGCCCCTCATTGAGACCTCGGGTTCACTTATTTTTAGGCTAGACTATTACTAGGTTTGAATATCGAGTTCCAGGGGTCCTCTTACCCCTACCTCCACAGCGCTGGGATTACAAGCATGTATTCTAACACCAGAGTGTGTGTTTATTTTTTATGTGGATTCTGGGAATGAAATTCAGGTCTTCATGCTTGCAAAGCAAGCACTTCTACTGAACTATCTTCCCAACTCTGTTTTGTTTTATTTTTTTCTTAAAGAACCACTAAGACAATAATAAAAGATACTTCTTTCAATTTTAATGACATTATCTAATCCTAATTACCTCCCAAAGGCTCCACCCCCAAGTAACATGTGACTTTAAAGACTAAGCCTCCGATATGTGCCCTTTGAGGGGAACATATTCAAACCACCACAACTTAAAACTTCAAAGTTTTCATGCTCATTTACTGGCTCATTGCTCATATTATCCTCCATCTATGCCAACTCCATGAAAGCTTAGACACTCCATTGCAGGACCAGTGCTGTGTCTCCAGGGCCTAGAAGAGGGTCTTAGTTCAAACAACTATGTCAGTAAAGAAACAAGTGAACAGATAAGTGTACGGACGGAGTGAATGCCAGCACAGCTTGTTTAGAGTTTGGTAGAAAGAGAACATATGTTACTGGATGTAGGTTCTATGATGACAATTAGGGTAATAACTAATCTGATTATAGGGGAAGGTCCGTTCAGGCACCCTCTCCACTATTGCTAAACCATTCACCATTGAGCTGTTTGAAAGCCTTTGCTTTTTATTATGAAGTGTTTTCACAGATGAGTTCAATATGGGTCCCCAATCAAAAGAATGTTGATATTAAATGAAATTTTTAGACTCTTAACTACCCCCACCTTCTAGCCCCACTCCTTTCCCACACAAACATGATTTAGAATAAAAGCAAGTAACAGATTTTAAAGTCATTCCCAATGTTTGGTGCTATGACAATTGCTAAAAATCAAACTTTGCCTATTATAATTGTCAGTTTATCATACAACATCACAGTCCCAGGCACCTAGACCAACAATTTATTCAGCTGAAGCCTTTGAGGGAGTCGACAAGCTGCATTCTTGAGTGGATAAAAGTATTGACCTCCTTTTAACTTGTAAGTAGCTTTTGAAACAGAATTCTCAGGGCAGTCAAAACAAGCCATTATAACAGATTTTATTTTCTTTCTCTAGTTCAGCTCCTTTTATTGCAAGGAAGCATGGGAGTAACCTTATGTAACCTCCCCCCTGCTGTCATTAGATAACTCATATCTTTTGTAATATTATATTTCCAAGAAGTCTGATGAAGATCTGAATGCCTCCGGGATATATTCAAGTAGACAGCTACATGCCTGTATTCAAACCCACTACAAACAGAACAAACAACTAAACAAACACCTCACTCACTGAAAACTAACAAAAGCAAGTCTGTGAGGCAACTCTCAAGGTCCATTGGCTCTTGATGAGTAGACCAAAACATTAAGAGGACCACAACTAATTTGTAACGGAAGTTTTAGCTGAACAGGAGGGGACTGAAGATCGATCTGAAGGCAGAAATATAGGAGATCATAAGGGAACTTGTGTGTGCATGAACTCACAAACCCAGAGTTGCTGCACTCTGAAGGCCAGCAGCGCAGGACATATGTGTACAGTTTAGCTGTTCCTGTATATTCCCTAGAGAGTGTATGCTGATGGGTCCAGAAAGGTCTGTGTACATAGAATTTCTTTTGGTTACTCATCAAAGAATCCCATTTCCTGTGAGGCCATTTCTAGGCACTATGAGTATGAACAGAAGTTCCCAATCATGTCATCTTGTAGCTTTTGGTTTCAGTTGGTATAAACATTCATTCATTTTTCTCTCACTAATTTGTTCATAGGTTCAACAAATGTCTAACTAAATTCCAGATACATTTTGGACTTGGGCTAGCATTATAGATGGAACGCTGGCTATGATCTTTATTCTCTAAACCACTCATAGTAAAATAGAAAAGCAAGCTAGACACAAAGGAAACAGTCCAACGTGGGTACTTCTCCGATAGAGGGATGTATAAGTTGTCACAGAAACATGTTAGTCATAGGGTCTAGGTTGCCATTCTGAGAGGAGGGATGGGACTATAAAACTAGAAAGTAACCCTCCGGCTCAGTTTTAATCACAGAAAAGAGCTCATTAGATGGAGACTGGATTTAAGAGCATCCTACGCAAATGAAGCTACACGCAGCAGCACAGTGAAGCTTGCTATGTTGCTTGGAGCAAATTATTTTATAGAACTCATGACGTGGAAAGAGGGGGGAAAGAACCAAAGGTGAGCTAAACTCCCCATGCTAAACAATCTCCCATTTGCCAGCTGGACAAATGGGAGTAATGAGCATGGTAGCTAATATTCACTGAGATTACATTTTAGGTTGTCTCCAAGCTATGTACGTAACTTAATAACACTTATCATGTAATTGAAAACAATTCTACCAGTTAGGTATAACCATTACCCCACCACCCATTTTATATATCAGGAAAGCAAGACTGTGGGAAGACAATTTGCCCAAGCTCACACAATTAAAGAAATGTCCAGGATGACATTCAAACCAACTCTGGCTTGCACACATGCCAGCCTCTCCCATCATCCCCTGCTGAGTATGGAAGTACCACAGCTCAGATAAAGGATTGAGAAAGTCACTGTAGACACAGGGTTCAGAACAGCCTAGCAACAGGAGAGGCTAAGAGCATAGAGAAGGCAAAGACTGGAG